ACATGGAGAGGGTGCAACGTATCGGAGCACGGGCTGTAGTACTGGCCTCGAAGGCTACAGCTCTGAAAGCAGCCCAAGCAGAAGCGGGCTTCGAGGATACGAGCACCCGGCTACAAAGGAAGGTCGCAAACCATCTCGTCCGGAGCCTTACCATCCCGGAAACAAACCCACTGTTCGACAGTCTCACGAGGCTATACACGCAGGGCAAGAGTTACCCATCTTCACTGTCCATCACGGCTAAGAAGTTTGGCCCTACCATCGGGCTTACAGTAGATAGTCTGATGGAGACAGTAGAGCCGGTTCTCCAGGAACGATAGAACGAGGGCATCCAAGGATGTAGGGCCAGAGGTCTAGAGGGAGATGAAGAAGAGGTCATCCGGCAGTTTCGAGTAAGGATGCCTAGGAACGACAAGCACACTCTATACACAGACGCCGCCTTTAAAAAGGGAAGGGCAGGAATCGCAGTAGTAGAAGGAGAGAGTGAAAAGATTATCACCCAAAGGACGATAGCCGACTGGGCAGCTGGTGACTTAACGGTTGCAGAAGGATGTGCATAACACTCATTACATAGGCACATAGGAGTTATTGGCATTGATGTTTTGCACGGTCCGCTGTGACCATTACCCTCCTTCTTACTAAATTTGACGGTTGCTATTAGCCAGAATGGGAATTGATTAGCGACAGCTCATACCCCTTGCGGGGTAAATAGCTTAAGAATGTCAAATTAAATCAAATCAGATCGGCACATAGCCTATCCTGCTCACGCTCTTAGCGGGTAAGGGACCTTAGTCCGATAGTAGATCGTTGTTATGGCCAACTATTCTGGGGAGAATAACTAGTCACGGGATTTGTACTCGTAAAGAGGAGTGTTAAGCAAGTGAAGCAAGTAGTGTGATGTGTAGTGTAGACTAAAGGGACTGTTGGAATAACTATTTAAGTTAAACGTAGGACCTCCTACTAAGTTCCTGCCTACCTATATACTTAATAGGTAATGAGTGTATACATATTGCTCGCAACTTGTAGGAGTGAGCTCGCTAGCTCACAGAGTGAGGGAGTGAGGATCTCCTTTGCAGCTCACTTGCTAAGATGGCGAGCTGTCAGGGTCACCCTGTCGGCGTGGTTTGCTGGCTCACTCGCCAAGTGAGTGAGGATCGACACACAGTCATCCTGCTCACTGTCTTGGCGGGTGAGGAGCTCCCGTCTAATAGTGGATCGTAACAATATAGAAGCATATTAAAATGTTGCTAACCTAAATAATATATAAGCATTACCTATTTCCTTAGAACTTCCTAACCCATATATATAAGCCTTCTTAGTAAGCTATATTACTACCCCCCCCCCCCCCCCCCCCTCTCCCCCCCTACACTTCTAAATTCCATGACTCCTAGGTATATAGACTGCTAAAACTAATTATAATACACTTAAACCAATATCACACCTCACTCTAACATCCTATGATTACATCAAAACAAGCAAACTCATTTCTACACTTTCCCGTACCAAATTCTACCACCAAAACAACAATACACGAAATGCATGCTTCCCCGCGAAATATGCCCAATGAATCCGACTCAGCGATTTCTTAGGTGTCGATGCTCCGATTTGCATGTGTGCTTATAGGTAAAAGAGGCATTCGCGCAATCAGTTGTTCTGTTATCCTCTTGCTTAGAGTATCTCGAAGAATCACTCGTACACCAAGCACTAAGCTCATTCCTGCCTTTGTGACAATGTGACACACACGGGAGGTACTATGGCTTGGCCGAGGCCAGATCATCGTTGGCACGACGCAAACATTGCGCGACCAATCAGCTTGCAAAGGCGACTGTTCGGGATACTTCTCACTAGCGCCACTGTAGCAGAATACGGATCCATCGGAGCTGAAGCAAACCGCTCAATGACATCTTCGCGCCGAGCCGCCGGCTCTTCCGCGTTCGTAGCTAAGAATTCATATCCCTACAAATGTCGATTCCTCTGCAGGAGCCGCGACTCGGGGTCTCCGAATTCTCGAAGCACAAAGCCACCAAGGCGCGCAGGGGTGTGTGAATTTCTCCACAGCAGGTTCGACCAATAGGTGAAACATCGGATGCTATCTCACCAATCGGACTTACTTGACGATCTCTGGAGGAGTTCAAAGACTTGAGCGCGGTATGAGCGTCAATCACCATGGCCTCTGCTCTCGATCAAGTACCGTCTTGGAAAATCTTTTGACTCAACCAGCAACCATATCACAATCACGTCACGACAGATTAACGTGACAGAGTCGTATGACGATCAATGGTTATGACATCGGTGTGCCTTACGGATAACTGCGCACGCATAGCAACCAAGGATGTCTCGCTGGTATTTCGTATCTTCGTACCACTCACATTTCCGGTGAATCAGTCTTGAAAGGAAAAGGACACAAGGACAACAAGGTTGGAAGCTTGCTTCCTCTGATGCTTGCATTTGCAACAGGCCACGTCGATTTCACTGCTTGAATGGTGGTTCAATGCTGAACAAAATTCACAAGCATTGTTGAGATAATGTTCTGAATAGACCTGTATCAACGATCGTGTAGGTAGTCGTGATCAAGTAAATAGACTCAATTTGACTGTATAAACATGCGCAGTCACACGTAGCTTCTCGATTGGTCGGTCAATATTTGACCTCTTCGTCGATTTCCTTCTCATGATTGAACATCTGTCGCCTCATGACCGAATCCTTGTCTTCCTTTAACTCGACACCCCCATTTTCAGAAAAGTGATACGATCGCCACTCTACATTATTCCAATACGGACCTAAAGATATCTTGAGTATGCATCCTTCCTCGTATGGCTGTTGGAGAGACTCACCTTTCTGATTGCCGAGCTCGTCGACATCTCCTGTGAGATAGTGCCAGAACGCTCCGTGGCCCACAATTGCCAAATCTTTCTCTGGCCTCTGTTTGAGCCACTCTCGTAGGTCTCTAGCTCGCTCTCTGACGGCTTCATAAGTGAACGCGTAAATCCCGGTCTTTGAGTTCCACCCTTCCTCGACCATGGAGGCGTTGATGACGGCTCCAAATTCCTTCACTAGTGCCTCTGGTGAGCTTCCTGTATCCGACGGTACATCCGTTATCTCCTGCGCCAGAGGTAGAAGAAGGAGGGGTCCAACTTCCTCCAATTGAGATTTGAAGCAGTACGTTGCCGTTTGGATGGCACGACGCATGGGAGATGCGCAAATCAAGTCCAGATGGACGTAATCAGGGAAACTCGAACGGAACTGTCGACAATTCTTGACGCCGTTGTCAGTCAGACTCGGATCATGGATGAGCTCGTTTTTGGACGTCGGCTCGAGCTGATGATGGCCTTCAGCATGTCGAACAAGATGAATGCGGGGAGCCATGATAGTTGTAACAGTACTGGAGGAAAGATGAGTTGAGTCGCTTCTGAACGTCGCGCGGTTGCGAGCTGCTTTTATTTTAGAAATGTGGAAACCAAGTTGTTAAAGTTCGGAGCTCACATAAGATATCGATATAGATTGCTGGCGTAACATGTGGGAGGCACGGAGAATCAACTTACGGATACAGGCCCGGCAATCACGGAACGATCTATCCTTTTGTGGGTGCTTAAGAGCCGAGTTGTGCCGCAATCTGCCATTCGTCATGTCTTGACGTTCTGATCACAGCAAGAGCTGCACTTCGGCTGAAACGGTACCTTTAACAGTATTGTGCTCCTCGAAGCCATCATGATCACGAACACTGCGACCCATCGATCACCGTCACATATACTGCAGCTTCGCTGTGCGGACTCTAAGTACGATAGAGCAGTCGATTGGCTAGCCAGGAGACCAAACTTGCCTATTTAGTGAGCAGGCAAAGGCATAAGTGGTCACAGTGATGCACATCAACGGTACAGAATTGGGATTGATTAATGGAACATGCTTCTCTGAGGGTTTCTCAAGGGAATTAATTTGTCGAGACCTCGATACTGTATACAGATTTCTGTTGTATTTATGTATAACCTTATACTGGTACTCTATGCCAAGCTGTGGCTAGATTACCTTTGAAGTTATATGTTGCAGGGAACGATTCTGGCTGACAATTATACGAATCGTCGATAGCTTTAACCACCACACACTTGGCAAGATCATGCTTACTAAAAGCAATTTCCCATCGTTTCCAAGACCAAGATTTGCTGCCTTTGCATTCGTCTTTGATTAGACGTGCTTGTTGCCAAGTGCGGCCGTTGTCAGGACTAACATCGACCCGAATGATACCTCTGCCGCCCCCTGACATGGCATAACCAGCAACCCTTACGATATCCTCCTCGAGACCATAGACTTGAGCAAGTCTCAAATTAGCTAGGCGATCCTTGGCGATGGTTGAAATGGATGTTATAGCAGACTGCACAGGAGTCTCCTGGATGCTTGAAGCTCGGTCCCAATCGACATCACTACGTTGATTGGGACCGAAGCATTTGTAATCTCGTCTCTGCCACTGAGACCAAGATTCATCTTCCGAGACGGTAATCTTTTGTAACCACTTGACACTGCGAGCGGCAACATGACCAGGGCATAAGAGACGGAGTGGATATCCATGATCGGGCATCAGTGGCTGGCCGTTCATCTCGAAGACAAGCAAGACATCGCCGTATCTGTCCAAAGCCTTGATCGCAGGCACCGAGGCACCATAGGCTTCAGCCCCCGTGAACTGAATGTGTTTGACGTCTTCTGGCAGCTCGTCCACCTGAAGTCCGGCGTCTCGAAGCACATCGCGCAGCCTGACCCCCGTCCACTCAGTATTACTGATGGCTCCAACATCCCATTGTAGGCCACTTGTCGCTTGCGCTTCAGCAGACATGTGAGCTCGACGGTTGCCAGAGCATTGCAATGTAGCCGTGATAGTGTGATGTTGGAAGTTGTTGCGTAGATCACGCACGGAGTATTCTTTTTCGGTCCCATCGTTCAATTCGATAGTCAGGCGATGACTCTCAGCGTCTTGCAATGGAGGTACCCAGAGATGGTTGCGAACGTAGTGTTGATCGCTGGGTGTGATGAACGTTTCTAGCTGGTCCTTGGGAGTCTCTGCATTACAGGGTCGCGAAGATCGAACGATCAGTGCGTCAGATCTCTCCGGGTCCTTCTTGAAAGGATCATCGACTTCATCATTGGGTGCTTTGCCTTCGACAAGATCCCTTGGATCTATTTCACCAATCAGGTACTGCTCAAGGATATCGTGCACCTCTTGCTTCTTGTGAATCGTGAATATGTTCCAGTACGGTTCGATGTTGCCTCCGACTGCTCTAAGGATTACCTCGCCACCAGGATGATTTGGGACCCAGTCTGTGATGTCGTAAACACTGGTGCCATAGTACACCCAGTAAGAATCTGCAGTCGAATTGTGTCGATGTATTTCATCGAGTCTGTATAGCCTTCGTGAAGGTTCAGACTCTGCTACAGCCACCCTTTGGGATGAGACCATGTAGACTAATGCAGTGGTACTTGCAATGGCCACACTAGACGCAATCAACACTGGCATTGGTTGCGCGCGCATACGGAGGGATGAGGTTGCCTTTGTATGGAGTTGCTGCCAGTGCGATGTGCTCGGCCGGGTACGTAAGGGCTTGCGAGTCACATCTCTAAACGTATTGCACGCGTATCGGAACGCATTTCTCAGGTTGGGCATTCTGCGATCCAACAAACGCAGAGGCACGGTAGTGGTCGGGCAAAGTTTGTTCTGTATTTTTTTAAAAAAAAAGCAAAAAATACAGATACGTGTAGAAGGAAAGACGAAGGTCTTACATTTTGTATGACTGAGGGGAAGAAGCATTCCCGGTATGGAACGTCGGCGACCTGGTCCAGTTCGGCGATGTTATGCTGATCAGCCTCCAAAAGCCAGATCAGCAGGGTACCCCTTCGCCAAGATCAGAATGAACGCGGAGCCGCATTGACCGACAATGGAGTCTCGGAAACTGCGGGCGCATCTTAGCCCTTGGAAAATCGTTCCCGGAAAGTCCGGACAATGACGATGCTGCTCCACAATGTTTTCTGATTGGCATTAAATTGGCAAGACAGACGACCGGGAAAGCATCGCATCCAATTTTCCTGATCAATCATGAGTATCACCTCCGTCACTGCAACACAAAGGCTGGATTCACGCGGCAATCCAACTATTCAAACTCGCATCGTCACGTCAGCCGGAACCTTTTCGTCTTTGGTCCCATCTGGAGCCTCCAAAGGCGACTACGAAGCCGTCGAACTACGAGATGGCGACGAACAAATGTACCATGGACAATCTGTCCTCAAAGCCGTTCGCAATGTCAATGAAATTCTCGGTCCTGCTATCTGTAAAGCTGGATTCAGCACCACGACGGATCTCAGGAAGATTGACGAACTCATGAGAAATCTTGACGGCACAGACGACAAGAGTAACCTCGGAGCCAATGCTATACTCAGTATCAGCATGGCCGTGGCAAGGTCAGGAGCAGCCGCTAAGAACATTCCACTGTACGAATTTATCGCCAATGAAGCAGCATTGCCGACTGATAACTTTGTGCTTCCTGTCCCCTTCTGCAATGTTCTCAACGGCGGAGATCATTCCGGTAACCTGATGGCCTTCCAAGAGTTCATGATTGCGCCTGTTGGAGCATCTTCGACGACCGAAGCTGTTCAATTTGCGGCCGAGACTTACGCCTCACTCAAGCGCGTCATCGGCACAAAGTCAGGGAAGTCGGCTATCGGGATCGGAGATGAAGGCGGTTTCGCTCCTCCTATCTACCATCCACATGAGGCTCTCGATCTTTTGACCGAAGCCATAGAGTGCGCCGGTCATACTGGCAAGATCTTCATTGGCATCGATCCTGCCTCACAATCATTTTTTGAGGAAGGTCGCTACAATATCGGTTACAAGACCGAGACCCCTGAAAGATTGCAGCCATCGGAACTGGCACAGTTATACCGATCCCTGCTAAGTTCTTATCCCATTGTACTACTCGAGGATCCATTCGGGCAGGATGACTGGGAATCCTTTTCTAAATTTAACAAGGATTGTACGATCGAGCTGGTTGGCGATGACCTCCTTGCGACTAACATCAAGCGAATCAAGATGGCCAAGGAAAAGCGCGCTTGTAACAGTTTGCTTCTCAAGATCAATCAGATTGGTACCATCTCAGAAGCTATCGATGCGTAAGTGAGCCTCTCCTCACGATCAAATGGTGACTGATATGTCCGGACAGAGCCAAACAGGCTTACGCCGACGACTGGTCTGTTTTTGTTTCTCATCGCTCCGGTGAAACTACCGACGATTTCATCGCAGACTTGACAGTGGGTCTCCGCACGGGCCACCTGAAGTCTGGCGCTCCGTGTCGCGGAGAACGTGTTGCTAAGTACAACAGACTGATGGATATTGAAGATGAGCTCCGCGGACACCAAAAATCGTTTGTCTATGCCGGAGTCAACTTCCGCCAGGCTGTAAAACTATGATCTCCGGCCCAGTGTCAGCTCAATGCCTGATTGTGATTTTGGACTGTTCTTCATACCTCCATCGATAGATAAAGCATTATTAGATACAACTCAAAACTATGGCTTCAAAGATTGCCAGTCATCGTTACTCTCCGATAATTGATTCTTCACACTGCCAGACAGTGCTACTGAAAGCTATTGCCATCGCTATACCCAAAAACCAGGGTGGCTTATTACGTGCCTGAGTCGGCGAAGTTCTAGTAATGTAGTGATGATCCCGATAAGATCATCGCCGACATCACCATCCTCCCGAAAGTCCATATATCATGTCCCCAATGCTTCGGGCAATTAAGCCTTCTCTCAATGATGCACCAGAATGTTCCACTCTCAAAGCCTCTGCAATAACACATTGCGGAAACTTCAGCTTCATTCGACAGTGCCTTTGAAGCAAATGATTCCAAATCGACCTCATGCAAGGTTGACTGGTGCTTTCAAAGGCTCTCGCCGACTGTCAATGCATCACCTCATCTGCGGCACCCGTGATCATACGTTTCAACCGAATCCCGCTCTATCCTCCGGAAGAACGAGCTCCATCATCCCATGTCACATACCTGTCATCGTCCATACTGAGATTGCGACCCCTACCGTCACGATCGATAGCGCTCATGATGCAAACACGGGAAGCTGGCAGTATGTTGTTGCTGATCCTTTCTCAAAGATTGGCGTTATTATCGATCCGATTCTAGACTTTGACGAGAACATGTGCACTATTGGCACCAATACAGCCGACCGTCTGCTGTCTCTAGTGCGGACGAAGGGTTATCTCATATCGCGCATCCTCGAAACACACACTCACACAGATCACTTCAGCGCTTCTTCGTACATCCAGACCATCCTGGAGCGAGACCATTGCTATAGGCCGTTGACCTGTATCGGTAAGCGAGCTCGTCAAGTCCGACAGATGATCAGCCAAAGATATAGTGTTCCGGCCAACATGGTCGAATGTACATTCGATGAGCTTCTTGATGACGATGGAAGCTTTACCTTTGGCTGTCTTCGTGCTGATGTCGTCCACCTCCCCGGCCATACATCAGACCACGTAGGATTTGTGACAGAAGGTACTTTGTGGCCCTTCCAGACTCAAATGCTGTATCTGCTAAGGTTTATTGATGCTCATTTCAGACAATGTATTCTGCGGCGATGTCTTCGGTTCTGGTCTGGCGATGCCGTTCTGTGACTACCCAAGTGGCAACGCCAAAGAGCTCTACTATTCTACATGTAGGCTCCTTGACTTGCCAAGTCATTATAGACTCTGGCGCGGACATGATCATACCACACCCTCACACCAATGTCCGATTCCGTATCTAAGCGTGGAGGAGCAAAAACAGTGCCACTACCATGTTCACCAAAGTGTTCCTGAGCAAGTCCCCTAGGGCGGAGACGAACTTCGCAAAAGGAAACTGTTGCAGATTCCTGTGAGCGATCAACGGGCGTGGCGGGACGTCTGAGCATGCCGCACCTGAGTCAACAAGCCTCGTTCGTTAGGCTCGCCACTTCCAAGCAGAACATTCAATCACAAGAGGTACTCATACTATTGCAGGACGGCGTCCCACGCAAAGCTTCTGGACTGGCTTCCAAATTTGCCTCTGGGTGTACATCCATTACTGAGTCAATGTCCGGAGTACGCGACCTTTTGATCGGCGAAAACCATGAGTCTGTGAAATTCCTTGTTATCTTCCTTGCGAAACCAGTTTCATGTATGTCTCAAGATATGCAGCTATGGTCATATGGACTTCTTGGGGGCCTTGTTTATCTTGAGGATTTTGTAGTGTGGCAATCGCTTGTCCGAAAGTCAGAGAACTCTGCCAACCTATTTGCTCGCTTGCGCGTCTGCCGCAACTTCTGTGTCCCTGTTTGAGCTCATGTGACGGGATGACTACAGGTATTGTTAGGTCACCAGAGCGACTGAAGACGACATAGATATGATCCCGTGCATGACAACACAAGCGATTGGAATGTAGAAGCTACAGACGTGTTTGGTGTCACGCGTTGCAAGCAGTGGGTTTTATGACGTGGCTATGAGACCGGACACCGGTATCTTCTTGGCAGTCATGCGTATAACCCCGGACGGGACGAAGGACGCCGACAAATCATGAACGCCGAACTTGTACGCCTGGGAGCCCGTAGATTTATTGCCTTGTCCGAAGTCTGGACAGATAGCTTTTTCGACAATTTCACAACAATGTCCTCATCGCTGTCGCGCTCATCCAAGCTTCGAAATCTCTTCATGTCTTCTTACCGAGGTTCAACTAAGTCTGCCTTAAGGCAGCGCCTGTACCATCCCAAAACAGCGACTGTGGAGCCGCTCATACACAATTTCTATGAGCCAGTGACGGGAACTTGGCAATACATCGTTGAAGATGAACATACGAAGCAGTCCATGATCATTGATCCAGTCCTAGATTACGACTCGGCTACCAACAAGATCTCGACGCATTCTGCACGCTCAATTTTATCATTGGTCGAGCAACGTTCTTTGAATGTCCAACGCCTTCTAGAGACCCACGTCCACGCCGACCACCTGACAGCCTCGCACTATCTAAAGATGAAGTTGTCGGCTTCGCAGTCCACTTCTCCGGCTGTATGTATAGGAGCCGACATTACCGAGATCCAAAGAGATTTGGCGCCAAGATACAAAATCACCCAATCAGAATTAGACGAATCCTTTGACGAGACATATAGCGAAGGGGACGAATTTGACGTGGGGTCTTTGCACGTCTCCGTCATAGAGCTCGCTGGTCATACGCCCAACCACGTCGGCTACGTCATTGGCAGCAATGTCTTTGTCGGAGACTCCATCTTCAACCCTGACTTGGGGTCTGCTAGAGTCGATTTTCCAAAAGGTTCTGCTTCGGCGCTCTGGTCTTCGATGCAGTTTTTACTCTCTTTACCTGGACATTTCAAGCTTTATACTGGCCATGACTATCCACCAGCGGATCGCGAGCACGCCGGTGAGAAGGGTCAACCAAGGCCCTACGCTACTGTCGACGAACACAAACAAAGCAACAAGCATGCCAAGTCTGGTACCGTAGAGAACGAGTTCGTGCGTTGGAGAACCAACAGAGACCACAAGCTTAAAGCTCCAAAGCTCCTGCACCAATCCTTGCAGGTCAATCTGCTTGGCGGACGATTCCCGACTGCGAATGGTCAGCGCAATGGTCTCTTGACCGTGCCTGTAGAACTTCCCGAAGACTTTGAAAACACTGTCCATGGGTCAAAGTCGAGTTTGTAGTAGTCATGATAGGGCAATATTAGTTCCGTATCACAGATCTGTGCACAATGCAGAAGTCTTGTGCCTGTGTTGAGAATATGAGGACGGGAATCTCACGACCAACTGGATGGGAGTGCACATCATTGCTACCTGTAACTTCAACGAAGAACCACAGCATATAGAGCGTGTGTTTCAGTCCACAGCTAAGGAGAAACAATGCCTAGATATGACTATTTACAAACATTTTCGACAGACAACTAGCATCTTAACCAGGCTGGTAGTGATGCCACTGAGCCGGATCGACGACAGCGATATCCTTGGGCGCAAAGTTACCCCACCGAAGAAGCTGGTAACTGGGACTCAGTCCGGCAGCACCGGCTCCGATTACTACGACTCTGTGGTTTCGTGCAAGCGACGCGGGCTGTGATGTAGCATAAGTACGTAGAGCAGCCTGGTTCGAAATCGTGACACCGCATGCAAGAGCGCGCGAAGAAGTGCCTAGAATGGTCATGTCGATTGATCAGGCGACGAGAAGAGTCCACGAAAGAATCATCGAGTGTGCCGATTGAGCCCACGCACTGGCTACTATTATGCCAACCGTATTTCAGTCGCGGGCGTAGGACCGGGCACTGATGGCGAACATGGGCCTCTTCCGGGCCATGCCCAGCGCAGAGGTCGCCGATGAATGGCACATCCCCGCAGATATGCCCGTCAACAAACCCGACGCGCGACCTAAAGTCCCCGGCACGTCTTAGTGCAATCTGGCTTCCGTCCGAGCACGAGTCTGCGTCAAAAGTAAAAGATAGCTCACTGTACCTTTTTCCAAACACTTTCTTGTTCAATCATTTGACGGTCCTTCTGCAGTCGTCTCGCCATGAATGCGCATGTCACCGACCGCCCCAGCACCCATGTCCGCAAAAGTTCGACTTTTTGGGCACAAGACATCGACATAAACTCCCATTGGGTCGAATTGCAGCTATTCATCCTTGCCCTCGGAACTGGGATTCAGGATGCCGTCGTCTATCCTCAGTTTGGCTGCTTCGTGTCTAACCAGACCGGCAATACGGTCGTCTTCGCCGTAGGCGCCCTATCTCGCCGAGGAGCACATCCGATCGTGTCGTCAGTCTCGTTGCCCGCAACCGCAACCTCACTCGGTCTTTTCATCGCTAGTCTTTTTATTACAGGACAGCTCGCGAACTTTCTGGACGTGGTTCAGCGCAGATGGTGGCTCTTCTCTACTAGCTTGTTTCAATGTGCTGTGATAGCCATCGCCGCTGCCCTCTTGTATCGGCTTCCAGGTGCGTCCCACGCTTCAAACGGCCTAAGTCTGCTCGTCATCTCTCTGTTGGCCTTTTCTTCTGGGGCCCAAGTCGGCATGGTGCGCGCCCTGAAGATCACCGATATCACTACTGCCATGGCCACTGCCGCATGGATTGACGTCCTCATTGATCCAAAATGTTTTGCTCCGCTTACTCAAAACAGAGGACGTAACCGACGGGTAGGCTTTCTACTGAGTCTCGTGGTGGGAAGTTTCATCGGTGCAGCTGCACACGCCGAGCTAGGGCCTGGGTTTGCCGTCATCCTAAGCCTTCTCACCCGATTGCTAGCAACTGGCACATGTCTAGTGCTCCCAACAAGGAGCATATCTAGCGAAGCAAATTAGATTGAACATACTGATAGCCTTATAAGTGCGAATTAAATTAGACCTCTAAGTGTAGACTATGCTTGTCGAACATACCCATTGACTTCAATGCTCATGATCGTCGTGCCAGGTAGAACGAACTCGAAGTTCGACTGATACAGATTCGTCGGTGGACTTAGTCTAGTCTCACGCAGTCCGGCGGAGTGTCCATGGAAATAGGTATAAGTTCCCATCGGTAATTCATAGAGTGACTAATCCAAGTGGTGAGTCTCATCAAGTCGCCGAACTGAACAACTTGGTCGATGGTCAACATGTGTAAAAAAAGTTTGGTAGTCGCTATTGAACGTTGATACCGGAAGGGGAATTACACAATCATGTGCCGAACATGCTCTATTGACAACAAATCAATGCTGAACGAGCGATGGGTAAGTCCTAACATCTGGTCCAATTCAGCTACTTGCTCGGTGACTCGAACCAGAACGCCGATTCAATCGTGTCCAAGATGCCCGAAGCACGCCTTATAAGCCATCTTTAGGTCGGCCCTCAATTCTTCTGGTACTACACGCAAGATGTTACAAAGCATGCCTCCAACCACAACTGATGAATCTGGATCAAATGACCACACCTTGTGTGATCTTGAAAAGAGCTCCAGCCACGACTACATGACCAACAGTGACGTAGATGAATTGAGGTGGACCAACATATCTGTGGCAGTCACAGATAAGAACACGAAGCAACCGAAATTGCTTCTGAGAAGCGTTTCTGGTGATCTTAAGGCTGGTGAGTGTCATTCAAGCCGTACAACGACCATTCGATTGACGTGAAATCAAGGTCAAATCATGGCTCTCATGGGTCCCTCTGGGTCTGGCAAGACTACTTTGTTGAATGTGCTTGCGGGACGCCAGGCGACCGCCAAGTGCAAGACCGAGGGTGATATATTGGTCGATCGTGCGGCTATTCTAAGAAAGACCTTCCAGAAGCTGTCTTCCTTTGTGGAGCAGGAACACTCCTTGATCGGATCTCTCACGGTTGCAGAGACGCTCGATTTTGCGGCTCGATTGGCATTGCCAAGGTTTGTTCAACAGCGTGTGCCACTATGGTGTCCCTCAGTTGCTGATATCTTATCAGTACAATCACCAGCCGAGATCGCAAGGACCGAGTCTTAACTCTATTGGACAGCTTCGGTCTTTCTGGTCAACGAGATGCTTTCATTGGCTCACCTATCCAGAAAGGCATCAGCGGCGGACAAAAACGTCGAGTAAGTGTCGCCAGTCAACTTATCACCGCGCCGAAGATTCTTTTTCTGGACGAACCTACCAGTGATCTGGATTCGCTAGCGAGTTTTGAAGTAGTTCAGTTCCTCAAAACCTATGCTCGCAAGCATAATGTAAGTCTAGTTCATTCTACAGGTCTGCGACCAGAATCTCACGTAATCTACAGTTGATCGTCATTGCTAGTATCCATCAGCCTTCTACGTCCACATTCGAATTGTTTGACAAGGTTCTTCTTTTGTCACAGGGCAAGGTTTGCTATGCCGCGTCGGTGCCGGGCATCAACCCTTATTTCGAGAATCTAGGTCTTCCTATTCCTGTCATGAAGAATCCAGCGGAACACCTGCTCGAGATAACCAACATAGACTTCTGGAAGGACAAGCAGGCTGGAGCACGGTTACTCGCTCGAATTCAGCAAGCTTGGATTGATCCCAGCGTATCTACCACACCTGAGCCATCTTCGGCAATACAAGCCCATTCTGGTTCTTTTGAATCCGATCATCGGGGTCCAGGAGTGGCCGAAGTTCTCCGAATTCCCGTGACTTTACTCCACCGGCTACTCCTCAAGAGTTACCGGGATATTGTTACATACTGGATCAGGTTGGTCATGTACCTGGGATTGGCGATCATAATGGGCACAGTCTGGCTACGTCTTAAAGGCACGCAAGATGGCATTCAACCTTTTATCAACGCAATTGTTAGTCACACCAAAGACTCTGTTTCAATCATCTATCTGACAGTAGTAGTTCTTCGGCTCAGCCTTCATGTCTTTCATGGCCGTTGCGTACGTCCCGGCGTTCCTCGAAGATTATGGTACATTTGCCAAGGAGCGAGCCAATGGTCTCTACGGCCCGACGGCTTTCACGATTGCCAATTTTTTGATTGGATTACCCTTTTATATAAGCAATCAACGTATGGCATCCAGTTCCTGACTCAAGATATCTGACATCCTAGGTCGACAGTCATCATCGCATTGACATTTTCTCTGATAACTTACTGGCTCATCGACTTTAGATCCGGCGGGACGGCATTCATCACATATGTGATGTGGCTGTTCCTTGGCCTGGTCGCGGCCGAATCGCTGGTCACACTGGTCTCCCTGCTTTCTCCTAATTTTATCGTGGCCTTAGCTCTAGTCGCTTTTGCTAATGGACTATGGATGTGCGTGAACGGATTTTTGGTGCCTACTAAGAGCCTCAACGTCTTCTGGGGATATGTTTTCCATTATATCGACTATCAGGTACGTTTGATGCATCGCATGAATTATGTTCATGACTTTCTGACATTTCTTAGGCATACGTATTCCGCGGAATGCTCGTGAACGAGTTTTCTCGTAGGAATTATACCTGTGCATCATCTTTGACTTCGCAAAGCGGGTGCTCTTGTTCATATACAAGTGAGCTAGCCGATCACTGCTTGATTGACGGCAAAGCAGTACTTTCGTATTACGATTATTCGTCTGGGCAGTTGGGCGAAACAGTCGGTCATATGCTTGCCATTATTGCTGTTTACAGACTGCTTGGATGGGTGGTGCTTTACCTGAGGGAATGAGGTTTGATTTGTATCAAAACAGTGTTGGTTGTCTTCGTTTTTCAGGTAATCTTTGAATATCTGAAACAAATTCAATCGCAGGCACAATCTAGTCTCAAAAGCAACAGGCGCTATTGCTGGAAAATAATTTGATATTTATCGCATGGCCTCCTCAGCGCAAGGAGCTAGGGAGCCGACTGTTGCTGGCCAGCGTGTCGGTGACCGGCATCTATTTTGTCAGATGGATTTGAAAACATGTTTGGAAGATCGTCGATGAGAACACGTCGCATTCCGTTCTGTTTCTGCAACTGGTTACTCTGTACGAAGCTTTTGATCTGAGAATGTGCCTTCTGTACGTTTCGGCAAATTCAAAATCGATTCTACCGTGTGGACTGCTAGAATCTGTGCTGGGCCTGGCAGCAATAAAATCAAAGGCGACGCTTCCCCAATGCACCCAAGCCGTCGCATTCCGATGTTCTACATGATTGGGCAATGCTACGATTGGTACAATTGCGCCTCAATCCGCTTGTGCTGCCTTTGGCGGATACTCCTGGCCAGCAACAGTAACCTTTGGCCCACAGGAACATCTGTCCCCAGAAGGGATTGGATTCATGACGACAGGAATGTGCTGGAATTGCGTCAACGATCACGACCTTACCATGTTTTGGACCAATTCCTACAGTTCCGCATCCCCACCACGACTTTTTACCTATTAAGACATTAGCATATAAAGATAAATGGACTCTGTTTGCGATCCTGACCACAATCCGTGCAAGTCGCCTTTTGGCACATTATAGAGTGTTGGATTGATAATGATAATTTGTGGGAAATTCGAGAAGTGCCGTCGGATAATAGTGGCGCAGACTTGCAGTAGAGAATGTGGTGAACCCCGCCTTCTTAAGTAACTTATTCTTGCGCGCTCGGACTGCCCAATTCCAACTAGACCCGGGGAAGCTACGACGCTAGCACGGATCTGTCTTTACATGTTCGCCGACTTTATTGGCGACCTAGACAAAGGAGAATCCTAAAAGAATCAGCTAAACTTAGTCCCATTTTATATGCATATATATCTCTTAGACTATACTATAAATTACATGAGCCACTAGCTGTTACGATCCACTATTGGACGGGAGCTCCTCACCCGCCAAGACAGTGAGCAGGATGACTGTGTGTCGATCCTCACTCACTTGGCGAGTGAGCCAGCAAGCCACGCCGACAGGGTGACCCTGACAGCTCGCCATCTTGGCAAGCGAGCTGCAAAGGAGATCCTCACTCACTCACCCCGTGAGCCAGCGAGCTCACTCCTGCAGGTTGCGAGCAGCATGCATACACTCATTACCCATCAGGTATATAGGTAGGCAGGAACTCAGTAGGAGGTCCTGCGTTCAACTCAAATAGTTATTCCAACAGTCCTTTTGGTTTACACTACACACTACTTGCTTCACCCGCTTGACACTCCTCTTCACGAGTAGAAATCCCGTGACTAGTTATTCTATCTAGAATAGTTGGCCATAACACTAGCTAGGCTTAGTCTAAAGGATACATTCTATATATATAGTACTTTAGAATTCTTATATAGGTTTATCAAATATTTAATAACTTATAAGATCTATAGTGTTGTGGCCAACTATTCTCTAAAGAATGACTAGTCACGGGATTGGACTCGTGAAGAGGAGTGTCAAGCAAATAAGTGAAGCAAGTAGTGTGATGTGTAGTAGTGTGTACCAAAGGGACTGTTGGAATAACTAATTGGGTTGAACGCAGGACTTCCTAGTGGAGACCTGCTTACCCATATACCTAAAAGATAATGAGTGTATGCACGTTGCTCTGTATGCTCTGTTGTTCTGTGCGATTTGATTTGATTTGATTTGATTTTCTCAAGCTATTTACCCCGCAAGGGGTATAAGCTGTCCATAGTAAACAAGGTTTCCAGCCAATCACAATCATCGGTCTTAGTTGTATAAGGAGGGTGAAGGTTTCTCAGACCTTGAACTGATCGCAAACGCCTAGTACTCCAATGTGCTCTTATAAAGAGTGACTCCACACTTCCTTCCCTCGAATGTTTGAGGGTGTAAGCCTCCTCCATGAGGGTGATTCCCTATGTCGTGTTCTTCCTTATCAGCCGAACACTGCTTGGAGGCAGTTG